GGAGGGCCTGGACGCGGGGCTGCGCTCGGCCTGCCAGACGGACTCGAGTCGCCCCGTTTCCCTCCCAGGGCCGGGCCGCAGGGCGGGAGCGCAACGCCCCCTCGCTCGGCCTGCACTGGGGGCGCCCCCGGCTCCAGAGGCCGCCGCCCGCCCCGGCCCTCCCCTCGCTGCCCGGGAATCGCCCGGGAATCGCGCAGGGAGTCCAGGGTCTCCGGCGCAGGGGACAGCTGCGGCCTCGGCGCCGCTCAGGCCCGCCGCCACGTGACGCGCGGGTCACGTGAACACCGTGACGTCACGCCGCCGCCGGAAGCCGAAGCGGCCGGGGACCCCGCGCCTCTTTCCGGTCCGGGTTCCGCCTCTTGGTTCCGCCCAGCCCCGAGCATCCCGCCCGGGTCCGAGGGTCTCGCGTGGCCCCGGCGCGGCCCGGGAGCCCCCGGGCGCCGAGACTGGCCTTAGAGCCGGCAGTGGTGGTGCTAAGCCGTCGGGGCGACCCCTCCCTGGGCAGCCCCTGGACACCGCCGCGTGGGGCCAGAACGTTGGTTTTGTTTGTCCCTTTGGTCGAGATAAAATAAAGCGAAGGGACCGAGGGGCAGCGCAGGGGTCCGGACGGTCACCTGGCACACGGCCGACCCGGGTTCGATCCCCAGCGTTCCCTAGGGTCCCCCGAGCACCGCCAGGCCTGGTTCCCGAGTGCAGAGCCAGGAGGAACCCCCGAGCACCCCTCGATGTGACCCCAAAAGCAAAATAAATAAATAAAAGACGCAAAGTGACTAAGGACAAAATTGGTCCTCGGCCTGCTGGAAAGTCTCACCTTCGGGGCCGGAGATAGCTCCGGGATGGAGGCATTTGCCTGCAGGAGGGATGTGCTTCCTGTGCTCCAGCCCCTGCAGCCCCCCAAAGAACGCTGATGAGTAAGGCTCAGTGTTGGCCAGGGAGAGGCGCCCAGCTTCGGAAGCTTCTGGAGCCTGGGAGCTGACTCCACCACCGCTGCCAGGTGAGGCTCTGCTAGCACCGCTCACCAGCCCACTGCACTGCTGCTCGCTCAAAATTTCAAGGTCGACTGAAATTTGTTTTGTCTTTTTAGAAATGTTGTTTTCTTTGTGAATTTTTTCAATCCTAGTGAAATACACGGAGTTGATCATGATTGTTGGATTTCAGTCATATCATGTCCCAACACCTGTCCCTTCACCAGTGTACATCGCTCACCACGAATCTTCCCGGTCTCCCTACTCCCCCAGGCAGGCAAGGCACCTCTCTCTCCCTCCTCCTTTCTGCAGTGCTCTCTCTCTCCTCCCTCTCTCCCTGTTTTCTGTCTCCCCCTCTCTCTGACACACGCCTTTCGGTTTACAATACAGATATGGAAAGGTTATTATGTGTATCTCTTTACCTACTTTCAACACCCAGTTCCCGTCCAAAGTGATTTCCAACCATTTCCAAGCATTATTGCCAGACTGGTCCCTACTCTGTCCCCAATGCTTGTGGGAGCTTCCAACCATTGACCAGTCCTCCTGGCCTCCATTTTCCTAGCCTTGGATATCAATCCCCTGTATATCTCTCTGTGTGTGTGTGTGTGTGTGTGTGTGTGTGTGTGTGTGTATATATTATGGGCTGGAGCAATAGCACAGCGGGTAGGGTGTTTGCTTGCACGCAGCCAACATGGCCGACCCAAGTTCGATTCCTCTGCCCCTCTCGGAGAGCCCGGCAAGCTACGGAGAGTATCTCGCTCGCACGTAAAGCCTGGCAAGCTACCCGTGGCATTTTCGATATGCCCAACGCAGTAACAAGAAGTCTCACTATGGAGACGTTACTGGGCCCGCTCGAGCAAATCGATGAACAACAGGAGGACCGTGACCATACATATTATATTCCACGAAATGGGTGCTTGTATTTGTCAAGGGAGTTGGGAACCATATCCAGCAGTGCTGAGGCTCCTCCTAACTGCGCAGGCATCACTCCTGGAGGGGATGCTGGGGACCATAGGAAGTGCCAGGGAAAAGACTCTGGGTTTGCTGCTTGCTAGGCATCAGCCTTGCCCCAGGGCTCTCTCTCCAATCTACAGTTTACTGACTTACAACCTAGTATTACAGAATATTCACAGTACGATGTAATATTTGGATATCCTGCCAAGTAACCATGATTCACGTATAGACCGTTTGAATTCCCTACCATAGATTCTAAAGTCAAGGACTGCTATTGGGGCTTATGTAGGCTAAAAGTAACGTTCTTGCTCAAGCTCTTTTTCAGGAAAAATCAACCTGAGGACACGTGTGCTTCAAACGTACAGGAGTTGGTGCTTATAAACATCGTTGGTTCTGTTAATTTTGGGTTAATAATATAGCAACTTCCAGTTTCTTTCCCAGACTTTATGGATTGATGGTGTCTGTACTGCATGGTGTCCCTTTATTTTCGTCTTGTCAAATAGCTATGGAGAATCACTGAAGGTATTCATTTTAGGCTACATTGGTTAGGAAGCTTTGCAATAATGCAATAAAGGTTTTATTTGTTTTGGGTTTTTTTTGCCATTAAACCTCACCCAGTGGTTCTATTATTTTTCATCTTTTATAATTTTATTTATTGAATCACCATGAGAGCAGTTACGAAGCTTTCGGGTTTAAATCTTGGTTATAAAATGAAAGACCCGTACCTTCACCAGTGCCATTCTCCACCACCCAAAACCCCAGTATGCCCCCATCCCACACCCTCCCCCTACCTGTGGAGAGATGATTTTCACATTACACTCTCTCTACTTTGATCACATTCAATATTTTGACACTGGACCCACCATTATTATTTGGGATTTTACCCCAACACACAGAGCTGCTGAAAAGGCAACAGTAGACAATTTGTTTTCTATTCCTGGTTATGAATAACATATGATGTCGCGTGGTTGTAGTAGTGGCTGCGCGATTTTGAAATTCCAAAATTTTAACAATTAAATCTGGAGGGATTTCTTGCCAAAACCTGCTGGGTTCCAAGATTTGTTCCTGAGTCTGTGGGATCATGGCCGTTAAGCAGATTGATCGGGAGCCAGAAAGGCCATTAGTGGGCGGTGACTAGGGGTCTTGCTGGGATGGGGAGGAAAGGGCTGGTCCCACCCCCATCCCATGAGGCCCCACATGTCTCATCACTGAGGGCCCAAACCTGACTGTCCAATGGCCTCTGGAGGATGGCGGCCACCGAGCCGCCAAGGGGGAGCAGGTGGAGGGACAGCACCCTTTCCTCCCTGGAATGGCCCAGCGACAGTAACCTACTGCAGGGTCCAGATGCATTTCTGCCAAAAGCCACTGGATTCCGAGATTTGTGTCTGAGTCTCTGGGATCATAGTCATTCAGCACCTTAATCAGGACCCAGAGAGGCCGTTCATGGGCGGCGACTTGATGTCACGTTGAGACGGGGAGGAAAAGGCTGGCTCCACCCCCATCCCATGAGGTCCCCCTTGTCTCATCACTGAGGGCCCAAACCTGACTGTCCAATGGCCTCTGGAGGATGGTGGCCACAGAGCCGCCAAGGGGGAGCAGGTGGAGGGACAGCACCCTTTCCTCCCTGGAATGGCCCAGCGACAGTAAACTACTGCAGGGTCCAGATGCATTTCTGCCAAAAGCCACTGGATTCCGAGATTTGTGTCTAAGTCTCTGGGATCATGGCCGTTAAACAGCTTGATCAGAAGCCAGAGAGGCCGTTTGTGGGTGACAACTTGGGGTCTTTTTGTTTAGGAAAGGGCTAGCTCCACCCCCATCCCATGAGGCCCTACGTGTCTCGTCACTGTGGGCCCAAACCTGACTGTCCAATGGCCTCTGGCGGATGGTGGCCAATGAGCCACCACGGGAGAGCAGGCGGAGGGAGAGCACCCTTTCCCCCCCCGGGGTGGCCCGGCAACAGTAACCTATTGTGCGATCTGGACGCATTTCTGCCAAAAGTTGCTGAGTTTCGAGATTTGTTTCTGAGTCTCTGAGATCATGGCCGTAAAACAGCTCGATCAGAAGCCAGAGAGGCCGTTTGTGGGTGACGACTTGGGGGTCTTGTTGGGGAGAAAAGGGCCAGCTCCACCCCCATCCCATGAGGCTCTACGTGTCTTGTCACTTTGGGCCCAAACCTGATTGTCCTGTGGCCTCTGGAGGATGGCGACCAGTGGGCTGCCAGGGAGAACAGGCCAGGGCACGAAATCTATTCCCACCTGGGGTGGCCCAGCGCCTCTAACCTACTGCAGGGACTGGACACATCTCTGCCAAAAAACATTGGGTTTTGAGATTTGTTTCTGAGTCTCTGGGATCATGGCTGTTAAGCAGTTCAATCAGGAACCAGAGAGGCCATGTCTCCAATTATATAGCTGAACTGGAGGTGGTTTGTGGGTATATCTCCCACATATCTTTTACCTGTTTACTTTCTTGGTCAACTCTGCCTCAAGTTTTTGGGGTCTGGCCAAACGCACGGCAGCAATTTGGGGGTACCTGGAAGTCTGAAGGCGCCATCAGGCTGCTGATGCACTCGCCTCACAGGTACAGACTGACCTGCTGGTGGCACCATACCCCCAACCCAGTGCTTCTTAGGGTTTACTCCTGCCTCTGCACTTAGAGATTGCTCCTGCCAGGACACAGATGACTGGATGGGATTCCTGCCATTGAACCCAGATCAGCCACATGCAAGTACCCTACTCACTGCACTATCTCTTTAGCCCAAGATAAACGCTTTTAAGAAAATGGTTTACAGGCCCAGAGCAATAGTGCAGCTGGTAGGGCATTTGCTTTGGCCAATCTGGCTTCAATCCCTGTAATTCCATATAGTCTGCCCAAGCACTGTCAGGAGTGATTCCTGAGTGCAGAGCCATGAATAAGCCCTAAGACATCACCAGGGGTGGCACAAACATAAAGAAACAAAAAGAAATTGGTGTATCAGAATTCCATTGTAGAAACTGTTTGACTCATTTGACTCTATAGTTCTTCACTGCTAGCCAAAAATCTTTTCTAAAGAAACCTGAGAATAATCAGTTATCACTGGCAAAAAATAAATAATTTTATTAAAGTAGATATAGAACACTTGCTTGCTCAAATTTTAATACTGCTTTACATAGTTTGTGAAACAATTTCAATAATGGTCATTACTAAAAATTTCAATGGATCCAGATCTTTCACTTGTCAGACAGCTGATAATCTCCAGAGGAAAATACATCAAAATCATACATATAATTATAGAAGTTCTTATTATACATGTAGCCTGGATGGTACATTATCACTTTTGACAGAACTAGAAAACATTCAAATAAAGAAAAATAGATTGAAACTGGATGATAAACTTCTGATGGTTGAGGTCCTTCATTCAATCTTTTTGTGGTAAGAAAATCCAAAATTAGTAATGTTGAATTTCTCATCATACATTCATCTAAAACCACAGTGAAAAATGTAAACCTTGTAAAGACAGTAAAATGGTTATTCTAGGTGTTTCACAAATAGCTGGTTATGTCATCCTTCAAGTGCTGGTGATTGCTGCACAGTGCAGAGAATGGGGTGGCCGGGCCGAAGTTGTCGTCGTAATTGTTGAGTCGTCCCCGTTCCCGTCGAGAGCCACCTCGGATATCATCTCCACTTTCATCTTGAGGTCCTGATTCTTTCTTTGGAGGTCCACGATCACGGAATTCAGGAAATCGATCTGTGTTAAAGGAGAGCGTGAGACGGTGAGCCATCTGCGGGAGCCATCGGAGCCCACCACAGAGGAGGCTGGGCCCCGCTTCCAGTCCCCGCCCCAGGGTTGGAGGCAGCCAGAGCTCCCCTTTCCCTTCCTGAGCGCAAGCTCCCGGGTGCCCCAGGGAAGACCCCAGGAGGACATGCTGGGCCCCCTCGGTTCCTCTCAGAGCAGGGAGTCAAGAGGGCCTTCCCTCTCCTACAAAGACAGACTCACTTCTTTAAAATCCACGGGGCGGGGGGGGGGGGAATCCCACTTTACAAAGGTAAGCATGACTATAGGCACAAACATTCATGTTTCACTTAAAAACTGGCAGGTTTGGGTCTGAGTGATAGCACAGCGGGAAAGGTGCTTGCCTCGCACGCAGCCAACCCAGGTTTGATCCCTGGCATCCCATAGGGGCCACTGGAGAGCAGCCAGGAGTGATTCCTGAGTGCAGAGCCAGGAGGAAGCCCGGAGTATCGCCAGGTGTGGCCCCCAAAGAAAGAAGAAAGAAAACCATAAAGCTGACTGATTCTTTTTCTCCCTCGGGGCAAGTTCTGATGAGGAGTCTCTGAGAGTGCCCAGGCCCTCCCACACTGGAGCCAAGAAACACAGATCTCTCTTCCTCCAGGTGAAGAAAACAAACACAAAAAAACATGGAAATGTTCAGTTCCCAACAAGCCCATGCAGGGTCCACCTCCACAGCCCACATGCAAAGTTCACTTCAGCCCACATGTGCTGTCCAGGACAACGGCTGTTAAGTACAGAAGTGCAGGAAGTGAGGGTGTGCGGGAACTCCACAGGGCACTGGGACCCAGATGGTCCCCTTCCTTGGAGAGGATTCAAATTATAAAGTGTTGCAGGCCAGGTGGGATGGAAGGGGGTTTGGGAAGGAGAGACATCAAGGAGGCCCCAAGGCTGACTCCTGCCGCAGGCCAGACGCAAGCCTGGTGATGGTAGGTGCGGGCACTGGGGTCTGCAGCCAAGTGTGCACACCCCAGAAGACCCCACCCAGCTGTCTCCCTCGACAGGAGCAAGAAGCAGGAAGGCGGCCCAGAGGACCAGACTCCCCAGCTCTGCGCCCAGAGCATGCACAACGTGGCCGGGACAGCCACATGTTGGTGGACGTTTCCGTTTGCGACCGGACCTTCCTGATGGGAAGGAGGCCCTCCAAAGTGGTGTTCGACTCTGGCAAAGTGAAGATTTGCCAATTTTATGGGAGCCCGAAGCCCAGGTTCTGGGAGAGCAGCAGGAGTAAGGGCTGTGGAGGGGTCTGGCTTCTCGGCTCTGGCAAGGACGTGACCCCTTGACTGAAGGGATGTGTCCTTGTCCATGGGGCCTTTCACTCCGTAAGCATCACCTCTTGTGCTGGGAGCATGTGGGGATGGGGTTCCGGCAGCGTGTGCCCAGCCCCTGGTTCTCACGCGCGCCAGGTGAGCACCGCCCCTTCTTCCTCAGCTTCCTTCTTTTTGGCTTCTTTTATTGTGATTAATGAATTCATTTGGGGGGGGGGGCTTTTGGGTTACAAGCCATCGTTGCTCAGGAGTGACTCCTGGCTCTGCACTCAGGGACCATATGGGATGCCGGAGATGGAACCTGGCTTGGCCACGTGCAAGGCAAACACCCTACCTGCTGTGCTGTAGCTCCGGCCCCACTCTCGGATATTTTAAATGGTAGGTATTCCCCGACTCTTTTGAAGCATACACACATATATACATATGTACATGTCTGTGTATGTATACACGCTCATCTATAACCTTTGTGGGTAGTCAGTTTGGTTTGTTTGGTGCGGTGGGGACTATGCCCTGGCTCTGTGCTCAGGGATCACTCCTGGCGAGGGAGGAGCAGCCCAGGCCGTCAGCAGTCACTCGAGCCCGGGAAAGTGGGGCTGTGTGGTCAGAGGGCACTGGCTCGCCTTCTCACGGTCATCAAAGAGCCTTGAAATGCTGCGTATGTCAACACATGTGGCTTCTCTTCCTGTCCCGGCCCAGGCTCTGGGCGAGCTAACTGGGGCGTCCAGTCCCTGCCGGGCTCCTTGCTCCGCCGAGCAGTCTGGGAGTGGTCAGCTGTTCAGTGATCTCGCCAGGCCGCCCCATGTCCCCCAGATTCTGTGTGGTCACTCCGCGCAGCACCTCCCCAGGGGTCATACAGGGGTCATGCAGGGGTACACTTCCCCTCCTGTCCCATGCGAGAACCAGGGACCAATTACTCCTGGCAGTGCTCAGGGGACCAGATAGGATGCCGGGGATTGAACCTGGGTCTGGCGTGTGTAAGTCAAACGCCCTCCCCGCTGTGCTATCGCTCTGGCCCAGGATATAGTTTCTCTCAAGGCTGAGGCCGGGCCTACACGCCCTGGTCACCACCATCACCCACCTCATTCTGCAAGTTTGCATTGGTGTTCCTGGTGTCCTCCAGGGAGGCCAGGGTCTCTGTCTTCTCCTGGGACAGTTGCTGCATAAAATGCCTGGCATCTTCCGCTGTCTGCACAGCCTGGAGAGAGAAACCTCGTTGAGCCACGCCGGGGGGGGGGGGGGGCAGGGAGGGGTTGGCAACAGTGGCACAACACAGCGCGAAACGCCCCACAAACCACCCACACCTGCCACAGTGGCTCCGGCCCCGCTGGCCGCCGGTTCATCCTGCGGGGACTCACGTCTGAGCCGCTCAGCAGCAAGACTGACACCCAGAAACAGCCCAGGGCTCCCAAGAGCCTCCATTCCTCACACAGAATAAAAATGACATGAGCGGACAGCTAAGCAGGCCTGGGTGGAAAGCGTGGGGGGGGGGGGGGAAGGAGAGGAGATGTGAGCAGTGAGCACAGGTGTGGGAATGGGAGAAAGGTAAACCCTGAGTGAGGTGGGAAGAGAGAACACCTGCCCGGCACCAGGCACCCTCGAGTCCAGGCTGCCCTGCACCGGGCACACTGCTGGTGGCACAGGGCACCCCCGAGACCCAAGTGAGCAGACTCAGGGCAACCGCTCAAAGTCCCCCCGGAAGACAATGCTTTGCTTTACAACTTAGTGCCTCTCTCATGCCTTCCCTTACGTCTTGAAGAGCCACAGTGCAATCTTCCGTGAGAACTCCCCCCGGAAATGAACATACTGTCCTTTCTTGGTTTTATTCACAGCTTATGCCTTGTCCTAGAGGTCAGCAGGCACGTGGTGACGAGCTGTCCCTGCGCCCGCAGCAAACAGCCCGTGACACACGGGTTCCGTGGGGATCCACCGCTCCTTGTGCCGACGAAGAGCAATCCTCTTAACCGCTAAAAGGGGGTGCCCGGGGCCAACGGGGGTCGGGCCTGCTCCACTTTACCGTAAAAGAGTGCAGCGTCTTGAGCTCTCTGATCTTGAAGGTGAGCCTGATCTTGTCCTTCCTCAGTATGCGGTTCTCCTTCTGGGCCTCCAGGAGGTTGGCCGAGACGTGGCTGCTGGTCTGGGCCAGCCGACTGACCTCCTTCTGGAGGAGGAAGTAACTGCCGGCCAGCTGCTCCTTCTCCCGCAGGATCTCGGCCACCTTCTCTTCTGACCGCGCCTTCTCCTCCAGCAGGTCCAGGTGCTCGGCCTGCAGCCCCTGGGCACGCGCCCGCAGCTCCTCCACCTCCTGCTCCAGCAGCACCAGGCGGCCTCGCAGCTGGCTGGCCTTGTGGGCGGCCGCCTGGGTCTCCTGGGCGCGGGCCTCCCGCTCCTGCACCAGGGCCTGCTGTGCCGCGAGCCTGTCCTCCGCCAGCCGCCGGCACTCCTCCTGCCGCTCGGCGTCGAGCGCCTCCTTGGCCTGCAGCACGCTGGCGTGTGTCTTCTCCAGGCTGCGGGCTGCGTCCCTGGCCTCCTGCAGCGCCGCCTCGAGGGCGCCCTGGCTGGCCGCCAGCCCCTGGAGCTCCTGCTGCAGCGCCTCCAGCTCGGCCTTGTGCACGGTCTTGGTGGCCTCGTCCAGCTGCGTGCGCAGGCAGCTGGCCTCGGTGCCCAGCAGCTCCTTGGCCTGCAGCGCCGCCTCCAGGCTGGCGCCCAGCTTCTCCTGCTCCTGGCGCAGCAGGTCCTTCTCGAGCTGCAGCTCCTTGTTCCTCTGAGCCAGGCCGTCACGCTCCAGCTTCAGGGCCAGGCACAGGCTGTCGAGCTCCAACTGCTTCTCGAGGGCCGACTCTTTCTCGGCCGTGAGCTCCTCGATCTCTTGCGCCAGCGACTTCTGATCCCAAGCCAGCTCATGATAGGAGCACTGCAGCTTCTGGATGATGTTGTCCTTGTCCTTGGCCAGGGATAGGTTCTCCAGAACCAGCTTCTTGACATGCTCCTCCAGCTGGCCCCTCTCCTCCAGGCCCTTCTTACACTCAGCCACCAGGCTGCTCTTGCTCATCTGCAGCTCCTCCACCAGGGCCTGCAGCCCCACCTTGGCGACCTGCAGGGTGTCGTTCTCCGCGCCCACCCTCTGGAGCTCCTCCTGCACCGCCCTGGCTTCTTCCAGCACTTTCTCTTTCTCTGCCTCGAGGGCTTCTCGGCCGAGCTGCTCCTCCTGCCAGAGCTTCTCTGCGGCCCGCCTGGCCTCGATGACCTTCTCTTTATCGAAAAGAATCGCTTGGTTCAACAGCCAGAGCTTCCTCTGCTCTTCCCGCAGCGAAGAGTTTTTGGCCTCCGCTTCCTTCAACTTCAATAGCAATGACTCTCTCTCTGACTTCAGAGAGAGCTTCTCCTTCGCCAGTAATTGATTCTCTGACCTCAGGGCCCTGCGATCCTCCGACATCAGCTCAATTTCCTCTGATGTTATTAGGTAAGTTAATGACTACAGAAACAAAAGCGGGCAAGAACGGAAACAAGAATGAGATCAAGCAGGCACAAGCAAGCCAAGCACTTAATGTGGCCTAAACACCAGAAATGAAAATGGCAGAGTAGTCTTACCTGCACACGCGTGCATACGTGCATGCACACACAAACACACAAACACGTGCGCGCACACAAACGCACACACACGCACACACACACACACACACTCGCAGGATGGAGAGGCTCAAACGCAGTTAGCTTCACAGGGTCAACATATCTACCTGCCTATTTTGTGGATGGGGGCCCCACACCTGGTGGTGTTCGGGTCTCGCTCAGGGTTCTGTGCTCAGGGATCACTGCTGGCAGGGCCGGAGGACCATACGGGATGCTGGGGATCAACCCGGGTTGGCCAAGTACAAGGCAGCACTACCCATTCTACTATCAGCCATTTTATTTTTGAAATGCCGTCTGAAATTATTCCTGACAGCTCCCCGGAAGTTTTAAGTACAGTTGGATCTTGACATTGGGGCATAAGATTTTTCCCCCCACTTCAATTATTCCATTACAAAATCCATCACTCTGTCATAGAAGGGATGCATTAAAAAACTAGTTTCCAGTACAATTCAAAGAACTACAAAAAGTATTTTGTTGTTGAACTTTGTGCAGGAGGGGAAGGGAAAAGCAACCATTGCTTGCAAAACGACTTTCACAGGGACAAACAGAGGCAGGAAATGGACTTAGTCCCAAAAGTTTTACACTTTATAGAAAATCCAGACTAATCCACCAAGCTTTGGAGACTGAAGCCAACAGGTTTTGCTTGCCAAACACAGTAACAACAAGTCTCAAAATGGAGACATTAGTGGGCCCGCTCGAGCAAATCGATGAACAATGGGAGGGCAGTGTTTGCAGAAATTTGGGAGGGGCCCAGGGGCTCCAGGAGGAGTGGCCGCACACGGGCCAGAGTCTCCCTCACCTGCTCTCCCTGCCCGTCAGCAACGGGTTGTGCGTCTTCGTTTCTGAGTCTCAATGCACACCATAGTTTAACCGCCATGTACTTTCCAGAACTTTCTGCAGCAAGGGCTATCTTCTCTGTCCAGCTCAGCAGCCATGAGCCGCAGCAGGCTACTGGCGTGCGCTGCGCTGGGCAGCTGACCGCTGACGGTCAGGTTACTGGAATGGGACTGACCTGAGCATGCACACGAGGCTGCTGGCCACAGAACTGGGCCGTGCAGGTGGTCCAGGGAGGAGACGTAGCCCTGGCTCTGGTGCGTGGTGGAAAGAGGCCGGGCACCAACACACACGCGGGCCATGGCCGCCGCTCAGCAGCCCTGGTTTCCTCTGATGTAAGCTCGGTTCCGTTTTCTTTCCACTGGCTTATAGATATGTATACACACACATATACATACAAGCACATATATGTATAGGCATACACATATATGTATAAACTATACATGGGACCAAGTGTGTAAAACTGAAAATGTATCAAAATATGTACATATGAATTAAAATACACTTATTATATGGATATAAAGATGTACACATATGTACATGTTATGTATGTACACACATATATGTGTGTGTACATTATTTTCCTTCTTGTTTTGGGGTTCACACCCGGCAGAGGTCACGGCTTCCTCCTGGGTGCTTGGGGGACCATGGGGGATGCTGGGGATCCCCCGGTGGGTCACGTGCACAGCAAGTGCCCTCTCACTGCACTAGTTCCAGCCGCTTTATTTCTCCCCACTGAGCTTCGAACCTTAACATTTCTTTGATACATGAAAAAATGCCTTTGAGCAGTCAAGTGAAAACACGAAGGCCTGAACTTACTGAGCAAGCTAAAAACAAAACAGACAACCCAAGCTGGGGTCCCTGGGCTTCTATGTGCTCTGCCGGGCGCCCTGGGAGCAACCCCCTTCTGGCTCTCACAGGCGCCGACGGACGGAGGAAGTGTCTGAGGCTGCAGGCCGAGGCCCCCAACAGAGCCCGACCCCGAGACGGCGGCCCTGCGCCCACACACCTTGGCCTTGTCGGCTTGCGTCTTCAGCTTGGCCACCTCCCGCAGCAGGCTCCCGTTCTCCGCCTGCACCGCCTGCAGCTTCTCCTCCGCCTGCAGCAGCAGCTTCTGCAGGGCCTGCAGCGCCTCCTCGTGCTGCGCCTGGCTCTCCGTGGTGGGCTTGGCGTGCTCGGCCTGCAGAGCCTGGGACTGGCTGCGGCTCACGTCCACCTTCTCCCCCTGCGGGGAGCCGGGGGCCACCATCAGCTGTGGGCCCCCTGCCTGCCCCCAGCACACACGCGCGCGCACACACACACACAACGCATACAATGCACACAAACACACAAACACACAAACATACCCGCACACACACGGCGACTCTGCTCACCAGCACATACACACACACAATGTGAGCCTCAGAGGCGATAGGGCCGAGCTCGCCTGAGGAGGCTTCGCTTTGCCCTCAGCAATGTAAAGATCAGCGTCCGACTCCCCTGGTACTCACCAAACTCCGAAGCTCTTTCTCCAAAGCCTCCTTCACTCGACTGACTTCGTTCAAGTTCTCCTGAAGACTACGAAGCGCTAGCTCCTTCCCCTGCAGCTCCTCGGCCAGGCTCTCGGCCTACCAGAGAGACAAGGATGGAGTGAATGGACCAAGGGGACGAACAGGAACAGGAAGGGGAAAACAAAACAGAAAGCACGTATGAGAAGCCCATGACCCAACACAACCCCGAAAAACAGAGGCGTGAGGTGAGTGCGATTGCCTGAAGTTCTCAAAGCCAAGGCCTTGGCGCCGTCAGTTCTGGTGATGACTGTCTAGTGGTTACTGAAAACGGCTCAAACAGAGGCGTTTTCTAGACCTACATTTGGAGTGACCAGAAAATAAGAAAGCCTATGAGAAAGACTGACTTTCCAGGGGCGGGGAGACGGCACAAAGGGCTGGAGTACACACCAGGCCCGAGTTGGAACTGCAGCACCACTGGGCGAGCCTGAGATCGGTCCACAAGCTGAAAGACCCACTACTGCTGGGCGGGAGGACCCCAGAGCCGAGAGCATGGCTTGGCGAGGAAGAAGGACGTAAGCAAGGGAGGAGGGAGGCTAAGGATACGAAGGAGGGAGGGAGGAAACAGGGAAGAAAGGGAAAGGGAGGGAAGGGAGGGAAGAAAATGTTATCTTTTTTTTTTTTTTTGGCCCGCTTGAGCTAATTGATGAACAAAGGGAGGACAGTGACAATGACAGTGACCCTATGGGATGCTGGAGATCGAACTCACGTAGGCCGTGTGCAAGGCAAATGCCCTTCCCACTGTACTATCACTCTGGCCCCCAAGATTTACTTTCTTGTAGTTTCTTGTCTGTGACTTTAAAAGTTTGAGGGGTTTCAATATGAAATTTAAATTGAAGAACCTCTAATCCACTAGACAGCAGAACGTGACGTTTGTTACATCTTGATGCGAACAAGTGGTTCAACTATGCCCTGCTGTGTCCTAGGAATTGATTCTGTTTGTTTCTGGAATGTCAGCTAAGGAGTCCTGAGTCCTGAGAGGAACTCCCGGGGGTCTCTGGGTCCTTCTGTTATGTCTGTCAGTCCTGTCTACAAATCCCACAGCCCTTCCATCTTGGCCAACAGAGAAGTTTCTTCAACAAAGCGCACAGCGCCATGGGGGTCGGTGGGGGGCGGCTGGGAGGGTGCGTCCTGCCACCACAATCCTATAGGAGTTAAAGGGCATTTTTCCAAGGGGCTCCTGGGTGAGAACTGCAGCTTCCTCGGCTTGGCCCAGATCTCACTGTCTTGTCCTTCCCCAGGGTCAGGGCTACCATGAGAGTCCATGTCCGTGGCCAGCAGGAGGCCATGCTGGAAGGCGGACTTGGCCCAAGCACCCCTTAGAGGCTGAAAGGGATGAAATCTCTGCAGGGCTGGGCAGGGGCTTGTGCTGCAGGCAGGGAGGGGCCGGCAATGAGAAATACCAAGATGGGCCACGTCACCAGCCCTGAGGGAGCTCAGAGGCTCAGAGGCATTGAGCACCAGCTGGAAACTGAGGCGCCTCGGGGAGAGGTTGGCAAAGCCAGTCACACGAGCAGGTGGTCAGCAAGGTCAGGGAAAGAACCCTGCGGCCAGACTCGAGCCCAAGGGTCTGGGCGGACTCGGCGAGTACGCAGGGGGCCCAAGGGGGGGGGGGGGCAGAGGTTTGCTTTGGGGGCTCCTATCTTGTTTTCTCACTGGCCTTGTGAAGAGTTCTCAGTTTCAGAAAGACCCCAGACGGGCCCAATTAGCCGGGGCCAAGGCTTGCACGGCATCTGGGTGCTGGGGACCAATGACAGTCCCAGAATCGTGCCGACACGTTCTCAGTCCCATCAGAGGGAACCGCACGGGACGTGACCGGGAGACCTGTCAGCACCAAGCCGGAACACGGCGGCGAGCAGACAGACACACAGCATGCAGGGAGCGAGCGTGGAAGTGGGCGAGGGCACCCGGGTACCAACCTGCCACTCTCGGCCCGCTTTGCATTCTCTAACTCCTGAATCTGCTGCTCAGCCACCTGGAGCTGCTGCCTGAGCTTCTCCATTCCCAATTGACCTCGGAACTGGCCTTTCGGAGCCCATCGAGCTGCAAGAGCTTCTGCTGGGTGGCCTCCAGCTGCGCCGTGGCGTCGGCCAGGGCCTGGGCTTGCTGCCTACACATGGCCCGCAACCCCTCCAGGTGCGTTACCTTCGTCTCGGCCTCCTGCAGCTTGTTCAGGGCGTCCTCCATCTCCACCAGGTGCTGGTCCTCGGTCTGGTCGAGCTTGGCCCGCGCGGCCTCCAGGCTGTTCTTCTGCTCCTGGGCTGTCCTGACCAGCCGCGACCTGAGCGTCTGCAGCTCAAAGGCGTGCGCTGCACGCTCAGCCACCTGCTGGGCCTTCGAGTTCTCTACCTCCTGCTGGTACTCGAACTGCAGCCTCTCCATCTGCATCTTGAGCTCGGCCAGCTCGGCCGCCTCGGCGCCCACGCCCCGGCTCACGGACGCCTTCGGCTCGCCCATGGCCTGTTGGTGCGGGGCGATGGCCGTCTCCAGCTTGGACTTCCACGGGGCGATCACGTCCGTGTTTTCCTCGTTGGCATGGTCCAGCTTAGTTCTCAGCCCCTCGTTCTCCTTGGCGAGCTTCTCGGAGGCCGCCTGCAGGGCCTTCACCTCCTTCTGGTGGGAAAACAAAATTTCCATGAACTTAAAACAGGAAGGAAAAGAAGCAGAAATAGAAATTATTCTTTTGCAAACTGACTGTTTGCTTTTTCTTGTTTTAAGGAATACCTTCCAATAAACTGGGGTTCTAAAGGATTTGATTTGTGCTGCTCGACTGAAAATCAAAGCTGAGGCAAAGGCGTAGACCCAACTGTCAGAACGAGAGGAAAACGCTCATCAACAGCAGCCTCCGGCCCCAAGGAGCAGAGGTGCCTCCGCCGGGCCCTGCCAGGTGCATGACCCCTGGTATCCCTGTCTGATTCTGAGTCTCCAGCAGAAGTGGTCCCGGCGGGGTCGGCCAGGCCACCCCGCATCCTTGCCTGCACCCTGCAAGCCTCTGGGACCTGCCCGGGCTTTACCTCCAGGTCGCCTTTGGTGATGGACTCCTCTTCGACTCGGAACTGGAGGTCCTCCACTTTCCTGTGGGGGAGAGGGAGAGTTGTGAGGGGCGTCACTGCTGCCCCCCATGAGGGCCACCATCCTCTAGATGCGCGCCTGACCCAGCCCCCGCCTCCACACACAGGAGGGCTGAGAGAGTCAGCGAGGGCCAGAGCGAGAGTACAGCGGACAGGGCATTTGTCTTGGCACGTGGCCGTCCCGGGTTCAATTCCCAGCATCCCATTATGGTCCCCTGGGCAATGCCAGGAGTAATTCCTGAGTGCCGAGGCAGGGAGCATCGCTGGATTGACCCAAAAAGAAAAAAAAAAAAGTCAGCGAGTCCCCTCGGCTGCGAGCACTGGGTAGGACCCGCAGGCTACAGGAGGAAGCTCTGTCGAGCCAACGCCAGGCGCAGTGCCATATCAGCCTTTTCTGCCTCGCAGCTAACAGAGGTGGTTAGAGACTGACCAGGTGCGCGTGCCAGTCCCTCCCAGCCAGCGCCTGTCCCCACATCGGGACAACAACTGAGCCCCTGGGGGAGAAGCAGCAAATGACTCGGGGCCAGGGCGGGGGGGCAGGAGGGGCTCCCAGGGGACGTGGCGAGTTCGGCATGTGGAGCTGAGGGGCTGAGCCGGGCACTGGCAGTGCCCCTGGGCACCACACTGCCGGGAGCCCATCTGAGAAGACCGTCTTGGCCGGCACCCCGTGTCCGTCTGTCTGCAGCCTGGCCTGAGCCCTGCCTGTCTGCTGCCGTGCCCCATGGGTGCTGCGGGTTTCCTCCCGCCCAGGACTTAACCCCAGGGACTCCCACAGGGCCCCACTGGGATACGACAGTTCCCGGCCAGCCAGCACAGGTCTCCTGAACACCAGGCCACGTGGACACAGCAGGGAGGGCCGGGGGTGGCTGGGCTCCAGTGAGCTCCCCCCATCCCCCCCAATGAGGCCACTCTCAGGACTGGGCACCCGCTAGTTTGTGGTTCTCACAGCCCTGGAAGGCCAGGAGCACCCCACCCGAGGCAGCCCCCCAGCTCCTGGCACGGCCTCACCTCTTCTCCTCCTCCAGCTGGTTCAGCAGCTCCACCTTCTCCCAGTCGGTCGCTTCCAGCATGGCCCGCAGCTCGTCCATCTTGGCCTCCAGCTCCAGGACGTGCTGTGGAGGCAACTGCGCGTGAGTGTCCTCGCCCACCCCCGACAGCCCTCTGTGGGCTGGCACCGCCACCTGCCACCGCGGCATGCTGAACACGTCTCCCACCTAAGCCGCAGCGTTTCTGGAAGGCCGGGGGGGAACCACACCACGAAAGCACCAGCGGGGATAACTCGGCGCTCCCTGAACCCCCACGGGGTGAGCAGAAGGTGCATGCGATCAAACCACGCGCCGGATGCCACCGCAACGACGGCAGACGGGGACCCACGGCCTCTCCCTGCACCGCCTGCACCAAGGTCGCGCCCAGCATTTGCCGCAAGCGTCTCTTGGCCCCGGCACTGCCGTCTGCACAGACGTCACCTGGTCGTGCCCGTCCCAGCCAGGGCCAGCTCCTGCTCTATCTCCCCCACATGGCTCGTGGCCTTGGCCACCTCCACCCGCTCCAGGTCTCGCTCGGCCAGCAGCTGCTCAATGTGCTGCTGCTTCTCCTTCAGCGCCTCCTGGAGGGCGGTTGTGCTGGAGATCTTGCAGGCATAGCGAGAGGAGGTTTCTGGCAACTGCAAAGGAAAAAGAGACGTGAAGGGGGTGGGGGTGGCGGACGCGGGCATGCACACGGCTATCCTCAGCAAAGCAGATGGAGCAGCGCTGCATCCGTGCATATGGGCCAGCGACTCTCAGCAGAAGCGTCTTGAAACCTTCCCGAAGGTCCTTGGACGGGACCTGGGCTCCACTGACCTCGGGCCTCGTGGGAATCCAGAGACTCTTCTGCAGAGCCGGAGGCAGCCCCCTCCACAGCCCGCTCTGGCCTGAGCTTCCTTAAGGCTGAGCCCTTGGCATGAGCTTGAGGCCGGCTCCAGCATCTTCAGCCTTGCAGGTCCGTCAGGGTCTCCCAGGGCAGCCTGGCCCTTCTCTCTTCCTCTTCCTTCCAGCTCACCTCGCTCTCCCCAGCACCCGCCCCAGGCCTGAATAGCAGTAACCAGAGACTCTTGTCTCTGGGAATGGCCCCGTGCCCCTGAGGGTCACTGGGTGTGACCCCATAAAAGACCCCTGTGCCATCTGCCTTCGAAAGGGGGGATGAGAGGCTAGAATGGTAAAGTTGCGGGGAAGGCGCTGGCCTTGCACGCCGCTGCCCGAACTGGATCCCAGGTACCCACCCCATAGGGTCCCGAGCCCACCAGGAGTGACTCCTGAGTGCAGAGCCCGGAGTAAGTCCTGAGCATTGCTGGGGTGTGGCCCAAAATCCAGGAAAAAAAGGAACAAGTGGTGGGTGAGCATGTGTGAGGGCTCACGCCCAGCGAGCAGGACAGCAAGGGCAGCTCAGGGGAAGACCAAGCACAAAGGGAAGGAGAGAAGAGGCAAAGACAGTGAGGAGGGGAGGGGAGTGGGCTGGAGGGCCGCGGGGACCGGGGGTCCTGTCCGTTCTGTCCTGGGCTCGTGGTCACTCATGGTCGCTCTGCAGACCAGTTTCCTTGCGGCACAACGGCCCCTGCAGGCGGGGACACAGCGGGACCTGGTCTTCATTCTTCAGGCACACGGTGGCGGGCGCTGGGGCGGGGGTGGCCGAGGACGTCTGCTCCTTCTGCCCGGCCACGCCTGACCCATCGCCCTGCTCTTGCCGCTTCCCTGCATCATCTGAGCTGCTGCCAATTGCCTGCTGACTGACAGGCCCAGCAGGGCCCAGGCTGTCCACTGCTGCTTTGCCTGCTGCGAACTCTCGAGCTACCTGGTTCTGTCCGGGGAGCGGGTCATCCTTGCCTCTGCGTAAGGATCTGGCCGTGACTCCCCAATACACTTAAAGTATATTGGTCAGATTAAATGCTCTCCCCAGGGCCAAAGAGATTTCTTTTTTGGGGGATGGAAGGTGCTTTCAGAGGTTCAAGATCCAGCACTGTCAGGAGTGACCCCAAGAGCAGAGAGCCAGGAATAAGCCCTGAGCACCCCTGAGTGTGGCCCCAAAACCAAATAATAAATAAATAAAATTTCTAGGAGCACACGAGCTCTCGGGCCCAGCCATGTGCAGTGCTGCCGGGAACTGCAGTCAACTCTGATTTCAAGGGGTGGCTGGGAAGAGCTTGACAGCCTTGGGGGTCTCCACCAAGACCTGGGCTCAAACCCCCTCCACCGGGAGCAGCCCCCAAGCACCACGCCTGGAGTCCCTGAGCACTGCCAGGTGAGCCCCAAAACCAAAGAGCAAAAATAAACTAGGAAAGGTGGGCGGCGGTGTTCCCCGAGCCTCCTGGCCTGAGCGGGTGGGGCCGGCTGGACGCACGCGCTTCCTGGGCCCGAGACAGCTCCCTGAGGAAACGAGCACGGGAGCGAACGGCTTCTTTCAGCCAACCGTGGAGACGAGACTGCGAGGTTCAGGCGCCGGAGCAGGGAGAAAGCAGCACCCCTGGTATGGGGGGAGGCGGTGCTGAGGGGCTGGGCAAGGTCGGGGCCACGAGCTGAACTCAGGATGTTGATGCCAAAGCCTCTGCCCTGCGCATGGTGTGTGAGGCCCCAGGCTCCATGCCAGCAAGGCCGGACCCTCTGTGGGAGCCTGGTACCTCAGAAGAGCAACTCAGCCAACACGCGAACCGGGAGGCTCCCCCAGGGCACGCACGGACCTGTGTGCATGTATGTATGCGTGCACGTACGTTCCTGTGGGCATGTCTACACACAGCTGTGTGCGTGCGCGCGTTCTGTCTATGCAGGTACGTGCCTGTGTGTATACACCCATCAGCCTGTGTATATACGGTATGCACTACGTGTACATGTATGAGTGCCTGTGTGTGTGTGAACGCTTGTGTGTGCACGTATGGAATTACGTTGTGGGTGTATACTTCCATGAAGCCACACAGACTCATTCTATATTCCTGTCATATGTGCTAACGGTGATGTGCAGTGTAGGAGTGAGCTCCACCCTGCGTAAAGATATGCAAGGCAGGGGCCAAAGAGCTGGAGAGCGAAGCCCCAGCGCTGCCCAGGCTCAATCCCGGAGGCCCGCCAGGAATAATCCCGAGCACAGAGGCGGGAGAAAGCCCTGGGCTCTGCCAGGTGTGACCCCAAAACAGAACAAAACAAGACAGCGGGGGGAGGCTGGAGATACGGCTCAGGCGTGGGGCTCTTGCTCGGATGTGGGAGGCCCCGGCTCAACCCCAGCACTGCAAACGGCCCCTTCAAGCACTGCAGGGTGTGGCCCACAGTCAAGCAGAAAAAGAAAACCGAATTCCACAAACGGGCTGGCTCGCGAGGGAAGGCGAGGGGCTTCTGAGTCTGCTCCCCTCCTGAATGGCGAGGCGAGGGGAAGGAGGAGTCGGACGTGAGGATGGAGGCAGGACAGGGAAACCTGGTGGTGGTCAAGCAAGACAGGACTGGCCCCAGGCCTGTGCCCACGGCGCGCGGCCTCCTGGCTCCCGTTCCCGTGTCACCTGTTTTGTATCTTCCGTTGCACACACACTCACTCCCTCCTCTTCCGCATCGAGGGTCAATGCAGGGAGCAGAGGGGGCGGCAGGAAGCGCAGCCCCCAGCAAAGCCAGCCCCCCGGGACACGTCTCCATCGTGGGCCCGTTTCCCTGTGGACAATATCTCAGGACACCCTTGCACAGTCGGACACACTTTAGTGTTTAGGACTCAGAGAGACGTGAGGGGAGAAGCCACGAGGCCCCAGCTTTGACTTGCGGCCCCGCAATGGACAGAAGTCAAGGCCCCTCTGTGTCGACAGGGGTGCAGAGGGACAGGAGGGAGCAGGGAGGGACGGAGAGAGCAAACAAGCAACGCCAAGCGCCAAGCGTTCCCCAGAGTCCCTGGGTCCCGCTCTGACCCTCCGACGCCCCCTTCAGCTTCCCCACTTCATCGCTACGGCAGCCTGGGGCCGGAGACGAGCCCTGAGCACCGGAGGAAAGGCCCATCCCTGCTCCTGTCACCGGTGGTGGCTGGGAAGCCACTCGCCTGCCCCCCGGAGCTGCCCAGCCCACCCGGTCCTGTTCCGCCTCTCGCCCCTGGGGCCTGGGAGTCTGTGGGGGCCTGAGTATCGCACAGGGCGGGGAGGGGGCTGCTTACTAGTCCCGTGTGGCTGGGCCTGCTGCTCACGGATGAGGCCACGGAGCTCACGGAGCTGAGCGAGGAGGCCGACGGGCGGCGCTTCAGGCTGGCGGGGGTGGTGGCCATCACACGCCTCGCGGGGGCCGCCTTGGCCTTGGCCGGCGTCGTGGAGGGGAAGCCGATCTTGGTGACTTTGTGAATGGGAGCAAACAAGCCGTACTTGGGCTGACACTGGAAGTACCTGCGGACAACGAGGAGGGGGGGACAAAAGACACCTTTGGCAAGAGAGACAGGCGCCGACCGCGGAGTCCACTGAGTCCCACAGTCTCACACCCCCACAAACTAACACGCTCCCACAGCCCCACACTCCCACACAGTCACACCCCAACCAACTCTCCCACACTCTCACACTCCCACTCACCCCAACAAACACACTCACACCCCAACCAAGACTCCCACATTTCCACAGCCCCACACTCACATACACTCACTCCCCAACAAACACACACACTCACACACCCCAACCAACACTCCCACACACTCACGCCAACCAACACACACTCACACTCACACCCCAACCAAGACTCCCACATTTCCACAGCCCCACACTCACACACACTCACACCCCAACAAACACTCCCACACTCTCACACTCCCACTCACCCCAACAAACACACTCGCACCCCAACCAACACTCCCACATTTCCACAGCCCCACACTCACATACACTCACTCCCCAACAAACACTCCCAGACTCACCCGAAGAAACACACACACTCACATCGCAACCAACACTCCCACACTCTCACACTTCCACCAAAACAAACACTCACATTCACACCCAAACCAACACTCCCACACTCCCACAAACTCAAACCCCAACACACACACACACTCACACCCCAACAAACACTCCCACATGCTCACAGCCGCCCCACACTCGCACACACTCACTCCCCTAGAAACACCCATTCACACACAACCAACACTCCCACACACTCACACCCCAACCAACACACACTCACACCCCAACAAACACTCCCAGACTCACCCCAAGGAACACACACACTGACATCGCAAACAATACTCCCACACTCTCACACTTCCACCCCAACAAATACACACACTCACACCCCAACAAACACTCCCACATTTCCAGAGCCCCACACTCACACACACTCACTCCCCAACAAACACTCATACCCTCCCACAGCCCCACACTCACACATACTCAAACCCCAACTAACACACACTTACACCCCAACCAACACTCCCAAACACTCTCACCCCAATAAACACTCCCACACTCACCCCAAGAAACACACACACTCACACCCCAACCAACACTCCCACACTCTCACACTCCCACCCCAACATACACACACTCAGAGCACAACAAACACACCCACATTTCCACAGCCCCAAACTCACACACACTCACTCCCCAACAAGCACTCATACCCTCCCACAGCCCCACACTCACACACTCACACCCCAACTAACACACACACTCACACCCCAACCGATATTCCCACACTCCTACACACTCACACCCCAACCAACACTCCCACAGCCCCACACTCACACACTCACATCCCAACTAACACACACACTCACACCCCAACCGATATTCCCACACTCCTACACACTCACACACCAACCAACACTCCCACAGCCCCACACTCACACACTCACACCCCAACTAACACACACACTCACACCCCAACCGATATTCCCACACTCCCACACACTCACACCCCAACCAACACTCCCACACTCCCAACGTCCCACACTCACACTCACACTCACACCCCAACAAAAACACACTTACACTCAAACCCCAACAAACACTCCCACACTCCCACAGCCCCAGTCACACACACGCACACCCAACCAACACTTGCACGCTCTCAAACCAACAATGACATGCTCTCATTCCCTCACAAACATGCTCACACCCCCAACAACACTCACATGCTCATGCCCTCACCAACATTCACAGCCCCACACTCACACGCTCACATACACACACCCTCCTACATACATATCCACACTCCGAAGCACACACATTCATACATTCACACACACACTCCCTCGCACGCCTCCCACCCCCACCGCGCAAACCAAGGGCGATTCCAAGCAGCCTCCCCGGCATCTGAAGGGCGACAGCAGGCCCGGGGGTTCCTGCGGGCAAGCACAGCTGCATGTGGGAGCCCCAGGCTGTCCCCACATCCCTGCAGGGTCCCCGAGTGCCACCGGAAGTGGCCCCGCCTAAGAACCAAGTGAAGTGGCCTGCAGTCTCCTCAGCGCCTCCCGGGCACCGTGCATTGCCCCAGGCTGTCTGGGGGGGGCAGGAGGACCCACCTCGTTCCGGCCACGGCGCCATCGTTCTTGCCCAGCGGCTTGTCCAGCTCCACGCCGCACCAATCCCCCTTGGCGAAGTTCGTCTCCCCGAGGAAGCGCACCACACCGGCCTCCACGCCTCCCACCTGCCAGAGGGACGCGGGTCAGGCACTCTGGACTGCGCAAAGCGCCCCCACCCCCGCGAAGGAACATTCTGGCTTCAGAGTAGGGATTTCCGGAAGAAACCCCAAAGGTCAAGGTGCCATTTCCCCCTGCAACCCCTACAGGGTGAGCAGACGCTGCTGCTCAGTGTCCATGCAAGGCAGCGGCGTTCACGCCCACTCGCTTACACCGGTGGCCTGGCTGACCACACCCCTGGGAATCTCTGACCCAGGCCAGCCACCTGGTGTGGCGAGGGGGTCGCTGCCCCGTGGGTGTGGGAGCAGAGCCGTGGCAACCCCACCGCTGGAGAACAATTAAGCCAGAAACCAGCTAGAGGAAAATGACTGTTCTCATATCTTAGCGGAGTTCGATTTTCCAGTTCTCCTTCACTATGCCTTGGCTTGATGCTTGGCCCCCGGGACGCAGAGCAAAACAGAATCACAGCGCTGGACACCGACGGGAATGCTGACAAAAAGGGCCAGAGCACCGGGGGAAGGGCACTGGCTTTGTGTGTGGCCACCCTGGGTTCAATCTTCAGCACCCAAGATGGTCCCCCTAGCCCGCCAAGACTGATTCCTGAGTGCAAAGCCTGAGTGACCCATAAGCACTGCCAGGAGTGGCCCCAAAACCAAAAAGTCAAAACAGAAAGGGGAGAGAGAGAGAGAGAGAGAGAGAGAGAGACCTCAACTAATAATGCCTGAGAGCGCGGTTTTCTTTTTTCGGGTCTGGGGCAGGACTGGGTTCACGTGCTCGGGGGTCACTCGCAGCACGAGGGGTAGCAGCGTCACCCAGGACTGTCTCTGTGAGTCCTGAAGTGCCATGTGCAAAGGCCCTGGCACAGCCTCCGTGGCCAGGCGTGGGCCCTGGGCACTGTGAGTGTGACAAGGAATAAAAGAACAAGAGACAGGTGGCTGGGGTGGCGGCCCTGGGCTGAGAAGAGGCTGCAAAGTTCATCGGCGAAGAATTTGGCACAGAACATGCCGTCCCTGACCCGGAAACAGCCTCCTGGAACAGCACAGCTGGAAGCCAGTCACGTCTCTCAAGACCCTGACTTCATATCCTGGAAATATCATCTGCCCAAAACTGCCGCAAGCCTGTCTCCAGAACATTCTGTCAGAGCTCAGCTGGAGAGAAGGGAAGTGATCTCCCAAGGTCAGGAGAACCACCGCACATCAGCCCGGAGAAGCTCTTCACGGTTGGGCTCTGAGACGCCACAGGACGGACAGAGTGACCTCCCGCTCTGAGACACCATAAGACTGACTGTCCCGCTCTGCGACCCCTGCCTACTTGCGAGCACAGACGGGACTTGAGGTCAGAGCTGGGCATTTCCAGTGAGCCCACTGAGGGTCCCTGAGTCTCCAGAGAGAACCAAAGTAGCACAAGCATGGGGGCAGTCTGTCCACTGCCAGTGACAGGGAGTGCCAGGGGCAGGGGACCGCCTTCCACAGGCCTAAGGCTGGAACAGCCGTCTCAGAGCCTCCGAAGGGCTCCTCCGAGGTCAGTCACGTAAACATCGGGGCCAGCTGGCGCAGAACCTGGACTTCCTGTGCGCAGGGAAGAATGGGGCAAAGGGCAGGAGGCCCTTTGGAGAGCCGGGAGGGCGCCAGCCCTGCACGGGAGCTTCGCCTCGGTGCCCCGAGGCCAGCCCCCACTCGCCACGGCCTCCTGACCACGGCTGCGTTAGGCCGTGGAGCGCCAAGCAAACCTTCCTTGAATTAGGAAAAAGACCAAAGAAAGTGTTTGGGTTTTCTTTTTTCCCCCTTCTTCTTTCAGAAAACAGCCATTATGCTGGTTGTGGTCCCCCAAAAAAACCCTCAAAAACTTCATTTTGAAAGGCGTGCTCGAGCTGAGGTATGGAGCGATGGAACAGCACAGCGGGCAGGGCGTTGGCCTTGCACACACCTGCCCGGATGTGGTCCCTGAGCACAGGGCCAGGACTCAGCCCTGAGCACCACCACCAATAAATGAATAACTGATCAGAGTTATTCACCGCAGAGCCAGTGGCAGTGTCCCCGCTCCCTTGTTCCAACGACACTGGTGTCCCTATGTCCGGGTGTGGACGGTTGTGAATGCAAGTTAAAAAAAAAAAGTCTTTTTTCTTCTTTGGGTCTTTGGGTCACACCTGGCGATGCTGAGGGGTGAGTCGTGGCTCTGCATTCAGGAATCATTCCTGCGATGCTTAGGGGACCCTATGGGATACCGGGGAACCCAGTTTGCTGAGTGCAAGGCAAACGCCCTCTCTGCTGTACTACTGCTCCAGGCCCCCAAACAGTCTTTAAACCGTGAGTCTCCTCCAGCTCCAATTCCCTCCCCGTGTTACTCTTTGGCCATCCCTGAACCCTGACCGTGACCCTCCAGGACCCTCCGAGGGCCACCCTGCGCCTGCACAGCTCTCCTCTCCGGCCTCCACAGCTCTGACACCGGCCTGGCGATGGCCATCCCTGTGGTCCCCGGGAAGCCACTGGCTCCGGGCCAGCCCCCAGTCTGTCTGGTCAGAGCCGCCCGCCTCAGACGTCCCCGAGGTGACTTTTCCCGGCCGCTTCCCACGGGTTCTGAAAGCGTTATTGAGTGCTTCTGCTGGGGAGAACAGTTGTCTACAGCCAAGCGCCTCTGCTTAGGGGAGCTGTGCAGAGGAATGGGCTTGGGGTGGACTGAGGATGCCATGTGCAGGGACCTGGTGACCCCCACCAGAAACTCATCTCACAAAGGGTGCCCCCTCGCCCCCACCGAAGGCCTTCCAGGAGCTGCTCAGAGAAACCCAAGAGCAGGTGCTGAGTCTGAAGATCGAGCAACCAAGACAGCAAAACATACTCCTGAGAATGTTCCGGAGACGGGTCCCTACCCGTGGCTTACCCAGGGTCCATCCCCGACACCCCAGATGGTCCCCTGAGCCCTACCAGATCCCTGAGTTCAGCACCAGGAGGAAGCCCTGAGCATGGCCAGGTGTGGCCCAAACACCAAACCACACACGTCTGGAGAGACGGCTCAGGGCTTGCGCACGGAATGGCCTGGAGCGGCTCGGGGTGAGCCCTGTGACGCCCCAAACACAAACATCACAAACCAGAGCAATGGAACCGATTTCCAACTTTGTTCGTTGGTTTGTTTTTTGAGTCACAGTCAGAGTGCTCAGGGCTTACTTCTGGCTTGGTGCTCAGGGATCACTCCGGGATGTGCTTGGGGGACTGTACATGGGACCAAGACTTAAACCCCGGGTCAGAGGCATCCAAAGCACACGGCCTCCCCACGGCATGACCCCTCCACCCTGTTTTGGCTAAACTGGTAAAACTGGCAGCATCCCCGCACGCATCCATCACGCTGGAAAGTGCAGGACCAGGTGTCCTGGCTGCTCGTGCTTCCACCCAAACCGCGAGTCTGGGAAAGCTGATGGACCAGACAGGCGAATGGACACCCACCCGCGACCGCTGCCCTCGGCACTCACCAGCACCCGGTCCCCGAGCTTCAGCTCCTGCTCCCCGTTCTTGAGGGAGCCAGCCTCCGAGAGGTTGGAGATGGACTCGCTGGCCGTCCTGGTCAGGTTGCTGATGTGAGGGGTGGCCGGTGCCTCCTTCGCGGAGGGCTGGGGTGCCTTCGGGGCGGCCGCAGGGGCCGGGGCGGCCGACAGGGGCGGTGTGGCCCGGGCAGCAGGCGCTGGCTGCAGGCCGTTGGTCTCATCGTCGGCCTGCCAGCTCCTGCTCAGCTTGGACGGCCGGATGAAGATGCCCTTCAGCGGCTCGCACTGGAAGTAGCGCACACCCGCCACCGAGCCGTCGTTCTTGCCGATGGGCTCGTCCAAGACGATCCCGGCCCACTGACCAGGGGCAAACTGGGTCTCCCCGAGGAACTGGATGAATCCAGGCTTGTTCCCCTTCACCCAGACTCGTTCCCCGACCTGGAAGTCGTCCACAAACTCCTCCTGCGTCTCCGAGGAGGGGGCGCTGGGGGTTTTCTCCCCAGGCACGGACTTCTCAACGGGAGCAGCCGCTGGAACAGCAGAAAGGGTCAGAAGGGTCAGAAGGGTCAGGAAGGGCCTGTCCAGGTCCAGTTAAAGTGTGGTTGGGGGTGGCCACACCCAGCAGTGCTTGGGACTACTCCCAGCCAATGCCGGGGGCTGCTTGTGGTGAAGCCTGGCCGGGCCCGCCGTGAAGGGGACGTGCCTACCTACTGCAGCATCCCAGGCCACAGTCATATTTGGGCAGCTGAGGGGAAATCTTTGGACACACCCCGTGATGCTACGGACCAAGCCAGGAGAAAGCTCCAACACAGTGTCTTATTTCTGCTGTGTCCACTGGCCCATCTTCTTTTTCTTTTAGGGGGGGAGCACTCCAGCCAGTCCGCAGGGCCTATTTCTGGCTCTGCGCTCAGGGTCACTCATGTGAGGTTGAGGCTGGAGAGTCCCATGGGGTGCCGGTTGCCCTCCCCACTGTACTGTGGCTACGGCCGGCAATGAGGCCCTTTAGTCCAGGTGAGTCCACCTCCCTCAGCCTGTCCCCAAGCCCGGGCGAGGGGGCTAGCAGTTAGGAGGGAGCGTGTTGGTCGCCTCAGCTGTCACCAGTTGCCGTGACACGAAAGTCACAGAACGTGAGACTCGTGTGTGAGAGCTGTCCCCAGAGCCATGAACGTGCCTACAGCTCAGGGAGCCCTTCCCGGGCGAGGACTCGGGAGGGGGTTCCCGGGTGGAAATGAGTCTCCCCTGGCCCGGGCTGAGCGCACTTACCGGCCGAGGGCGCCTTCAGGGCCCAGCTCCCATGCTTGAGGATCTTGGTGGGGGCCTTCAGCCCGCTGGGCCTCAGCAGACTCATGGTCAGGTGGTCAGACGCTGCCGCGGCCACTACCGGGCCCTGACTGTCGAGCCCACTGTGGGGCCTTCTGAGGCGCACTCGTTCTCAGGGATAAATCTCTGAAGAGCAGAGGAGAGAGTCTGTCTCACGGGAGCGACCACAGCAGCTTCCGGAGCCCAGAGAGCTGCCAGTCTGAGACTCGCCACCCCGAGTGCGACCCCCAGCCTCCCGCACAGCCCCCTGAGCCCACCAAGTGTCATTCCTGCACAAAAACTCAATCCCAAACAGACAAACAAACAACAGCAGATTCAGGGCCAGAGGGCAGAGGGGACAGGTACTTGCCCTGCGGGCAGCTGACCCTCACGCCCTCCCTGGCATCACACCCACCCCCAAACACATTCAGGAGCCAGAAATCGTCCCTGTGCACTGTGAGTGCCACTGACCACCTTCCCGTCCAGACACTGACTAGCCGGGAGGCGACTCAGCAGTGATGGCTGGTCTTGTGTGTGCATGTGTGCGTATGTATGTGTGTGAGAGGCCCGGGGTTACACACAGAAGCTAAGGCAAGCAACAGGCACACTTTTTTCTATGGGCTGAGAAGTGCCAGGGAAAAGGGCCCAGCAAGACTGCGCCAAAGGGGGGCTGGAGAGCGATAGCACAGTGGGTAGGGCGTTTGCCTTGCACGTGGCCGACCCAGGTTCGATTCCCAGCATCCCATATGGTCCCCTGAGCACTGCCAGGACTGATTCCTGAGTGCAGACCCAGGAGTAAATCCTGTGCATCACCAGGTGCGACCCAAAAAGAAAAAAAATTGCGCCAAAGGGGAGCGAAGGAGGTTTTGGCGTTTCCTTCGTTCCTTGTGACGCTGCCCAAGTTTGATAACCACAAGCCAGTATTAACTCCATTTCTTAACCCACAGAACTGAGGCAGACATGTGGATGGGGGAAGCATCGCCATGGCAATGGAACTCCGAGGAAGTCAACAATAGCTTCATGGCCACCAAAAGACCACCTGAGGGCACGGGACCCAAGGTCTGGTCAAAATTAACCCACATTAGGAGGCCCAGAGCAGGCTGGACCCCCCGAGGGAATAGGAACAAAGGCCAGGAAAGGAATTTCTAAGAGGACCTTGGACCACTCAACTCTACCCCCTTGGCAACCACCCTAGCAACGGACTCTAGGTAGCTAGAAACTCCCACCAGGGGCAGCCTGGGGAAAACCCGAGATTAGCCCCCTTGAACCAAGGGAGGGCGCTCATGTGTGCCCGAGCCCAGGGACTGCTCTTGCCTACGAGGTCGGTCATGTCACGGGCTTCTCCCCTCCTGAGGTGTGGACTTTCGGACCGAACGCAACCAGGCAACCTAACGTGTTCAGTGGCTTTCTGCGCCTCTGGAGAAGCCGCACTCTCTCTCGAGCGTGTTACTCCCTCCCTCATTTCCCCTTCCTAAAAGCCTCCAAATAAAATGTTCCTGCTTTATGCTCATCTCCTGAAATGATTTTCTGCGAGAAGGACAAAGGCCCGGGGGCCTGAGGAGGTCGAGGATCGACTCCCTTTCCCTGAAAAGGGCAACCCCTCACTCCGGCCCGAGACCCCGGGAAGGCCTAGTGGGTGTCGTGTGGCTGGTAGGGCTCGTCGCGCTCATCAGTGCCAGCGCTCCAGCCAGTCCCGGGGGAGTGACATCTTCTCCTCTGCTTCTCATCAGCCCCCCATGAGGGCCCACTGAGTTCAGAGTCATTCCGTATTTAATAGAAAAGTCCGCAGGGGGCAGAGAGGCAGGACAGTGGGGAGGGCACTTGCCTTCTATCCAGTTGTCCTGGGCTCGATCTCCATCAGCACAGGGACGTTAGCCGGCCAGGGTGACCCCTGGGCACAGCCAGGTATGGCCACCCCAACCCACCCCACCCCCACCCCCCAAAAATATATATATATATAACTACTAAAAAAACTTAAACGAACTACAGATTAAAAACTATCATACACTAAAGAACTGTTAGAGAAAAAAGCCACCCGCACGCGGGCAAAAAGCCCAGAGACTCAGATTCACCTGTGTCACACTGCACTCGCAGCTTAAAGAACTGAGCTCTGCCAAACAGGCTCGTGCCAGTCTCCTACAGAGACTGAAAATGGCACTTGGAGTCTAGAATGTTCCAAGGTAGAATGAGAATTCCGCAAGGAGGAGGGCATCATGGGCCCTTCTTAAAGGGGCAGGCGCCACCCTTCGTGATGCCAGGGTCCGGCTGAGGCTCCAGAGGGCTGCCCTGCAGATGCCAGCACTAGCTGGCCAATGTGCCTCTGGTCCCTGCGGGGCCCAGTTCTGGACTCCTGGGCCCTGAGAAAGTGGTTTCAGAAAACGTTTGACAAATGTTTGGCAGTTACAGATCTCCAACTGAGGTCATTCGGCGTCCCCCGAGTGTGACCTGGACCCAGTGACTGTGCCCAGGGCCCTCCTCAGGAGCTGGGCCATAAAATCTATGGGCGGGCGGGGGCGGGGGCGGAGGGGCAGAGCGACAGGGCAGAGGCCCTGAGCCCGACCCTGATAGCCCTGCTCTCTGTGACCCCAGTGCTGTGAGCAACACCTGCCGCACCGTGGCCAGGGAGTGGCCCAGCCCACTAAGGCCTGAGAGCTGTACAGAGGAGTCTGGCCTGGCCTGCTCGGATGGGAGCACAAGCTGAATGAGTGCGGGTCCCCTCGAGGATGAGTGAGCAGGAACGGGGGAGTGGTGGGGAGGTGGGGAGGGCGGAGTGACCTAACCTGGGGGCTCAGGACGGGACACCTGGACGGGACACCTGGCGGTGCTCAGGGCCGACTCTGATCCAGTCATCGGGGATCATCCTGGCAGGACCTGGTGGGGGTGACGTACAGGGTGGGGTGGGGTCAGCCGCAGGCAAGGCAGGCTCCTTGGCCCTGGGCTACCTTTCCAGTCAAGGATACCTATTTTCTTTCTTTCCTTTTGTTTTTTGGGACACCCGGCAGTGCTCAGGGTTACTCCTGGGTCTGCTCTCGGGAATCACTCCTGGCGGTGCTCAGGGGGACCTATGGGGTGAGCCATGCACCAGGCAAGCGCCAAGTCTTGATGCCAAGGTGCCCACGAAACACAGTGTGCAACAAGGGACTCTACAGAGAACGTCAGGGCCAGCAAACGCTACGAGGAAGTCAATCAATTCTGAAAAAAACACAAAAAGATGCAAAAGGAGGGGCTGAAGTGAGAGCACAGTGGGGAGGGGTTTGCCTTGCTCACGGCTGACCAAGATTCGATCACCAGTCCTGAGCACTGCCAGGAGTAATTCCTGAGCATCCCTGAGTGTGACCCAAAAAGCCAAAAAAAAGAAAAAAACAGCGCGAAAGAAAATGTGTTTGAGCCTCACTGTCTCCCTGAGACTTGAGCACTCAGTGCCGTGTGTGAGCCCAGTAGAGTCTCCGGCCTAAACATGCCCCGACCCCCTCACCCCCATGCTCCTGTGTTTGGACCGTGACCCTAAATCCTGTGATGGGACCACATGTGTCCATGACAAAGACGCTAGCAGGCTCACGCCCCAGAACGTCCCTGCTTCACACAGGCGTGGCACACGGGTCCTGGCCTGCTAGTGGCCGGCAGTGATTCGGCAGGAAGCAGAGGTGTGAGCCTGAACGTGGGTCAAGTACGTTCCTTCAGCCTGGAGGGGAGGAATGTCCGAGAGGGGGTTTTGAGCACTGCCTCACAAGCATGAGGTCCTGAGTCCAAGTCCCAGGGGTCACATGTGCACCTGGCACAAAGCCGGCACAAACCAGGCAGCTCTGCTGTCCCAGCACCACGCAGGAAGGGGGGTGACCCCAGGGGGAGGGCCACCGAGAGAGGAGGGGGACACCACAGAAAGGAGGAGGGAACACAGGGCAGGAGTTGAGGGCTGCAGGGCCGGGAGCACCGGGCAGAGAGCAGCCCTGGGGAGCAGGAGGCCAGGAGGGCGCACCTTGTCACTGGCCACTCGAGGCCGTGTGCAGACCCACGAGGCTGACAGGGCGCCAGCGACGGGGCAACCCCAGCAAGGATTTTTCTTTAAGTTTTGGGCCACGGGGCCAGAACTCTAGTACAGCGGGGAGGGCGTTTGCCTTGCACACAACTGACCTGGCTTCAATCCCGGCATCCCATAGGGACCCCAGAGCACCTCCAGGAGTAAGTCCTGAGTGCAGAGCCAGGAGTGACCCCGGAACATGTCCAGGTGTGACCCAAAATCAAAACAACAGCAGAGCAAGCGGAAGGGCCCGGAAGCTCTGAGCCACGGAAACGCCGAGGTTGGTTGGTGCCCACTCGCCTCCGCCCCCTGCCAGGCCAGGCCGGCCTGGGATCAAGGTGCCCGAGCGTCTCCAGACAGGATCTGCCTCAGCGGCTCGGTGCGTTATCTCAGCCTATCACCCAACTCGACTGGGATTGACTCTGGTTATCTCCTTGACTGGTTATCTTGGGCATCTCAGGGGCCAGCCGCCAATCTCCGTCCTCCCACCTGGCCAGGGCGGGATCAGGTGTCAGCAGCTGGGCCCTGAACACCCCACCTGCCCGTCCAAACGCAAAGCAAGCACAAAGCCAGGCTCGCCCCCAACTCGTAGGACACGACCAAGCTAGGGGCCCCGGAGAGCACTGGGCCCGAGGAAGGGTCCCAGAGATCCCCAAATTTCCCTTGCTCGACGGCCCGGCCCAGCAATCTGCATCAACCACTGGGCCCGAGCTCTCTGCTTTCCTTCTGCTTGCTCAGCGAGACGCAGCACCTCACACCTGTGTTTGGAGGGGAGGAACACCAAACTTTTTTTTTTTGGCTTTTTGGGTCACACCTGGTGATGCACAAGGGTTATTCCTGGCTCTGCACTCACAGGGGTTACTCCTGGCTCTGCACTCAGGAGACCATATGGATGCTGGGACTCAAACCCGGGATGGCCACGTGAAAGACACACGCCCTACCCACTGTGTATCTCTCCAGCCCCGGAACTCCAAACTTTATATAGAAAACAACGTATTTCACAATGCCTTTTCAGCCATTCTGATTGTTGG